GAGTCATCTAAGCTCGTCTCCACTAGCAGCGGCAATGACGCGGTATTTCTGTAGTTATGTTATGGATTTGTTTGTTTTATTGTGTTAAGAGTTAGATACAGTGTGGTTTTGAAGTGATTTGGTTTTCACTTTTGGGAATTGGTGGTTTGGGTTGTTTTTTTTTTCTCGCTTGATTTCTACTGGATGGAGACAGATTAGGTGGAATTAGGTATTCAGCCTGAATTGAAATCGGGATTATGTGAAGTTTCAATTTTTTCGACGCATTATCTGTTGAAATCTTGCGATTGAGTGCATAATTGTGATCTTTTGGGGAAATTTATTGTGGCTTGAAGATGTGATTACTTGATCTGTACTGGATATGGACAGATTATATAAAGTGTCTGTAGTGGCACTGAGTTAGTTTGCGAAAAAAGTCATTCTTACTTTAGCAACGTAAGTAATGTGAACTCACAATGTGTATAGAGTTTAGTGGACGCGGCCCACGCGGGATCTGAAAAGATCTTGAAGTAACAGTTTGTAAATTTCGTGAGGGTGAGGATTTGGAGGGCGGGGTGTGATTTTACTAGACCTTTTCGAGTTGGCCCTGATAGCTTATTTTCTGTTGTTGGTTCGTTTTTATGAAAATTCTGAGTACTAACATGTAAGTTCTGTAAACTATGTACCTAAAACAGTTTAAGAGCATGGAGTATCAGAGCTTCTGTTGCATTATTGTTTAATTTTGACTATTGGTTTAGGGTTTGATTTTTGGAGATTTTCACTTGCTTCTTGCACTCTAGAGATTGGAATTAATTTGTATACGAAAAATGTGATTTTTTCATCAACTCATGAACGTAAAGAAACCAACAGTTTAATGCTTGTAGAGCATCAATTTTTTATCGATCTAGACAGTATTATACTGTTTAATGCTTGAAGAATATTACAGTAGGCTTTGTTTATGATCTCTTTATTTCTTAAGGAGAGAGACCTGTTTTTTTTATTAAAATTTTAGTACCGAACTGGATGAGAATGAAATAGTTTCATTTTCCATCGATTCCTGTAGATATATAGTGATATTACTTGTAGGATCAAAAGACTGATCGATTCGACGATTTCTTTCAGGATGGTGACAGTTTTACGAATTAGTTATAAGACCGTGCTACGTTATCTGCGGAGAATGTTCCTACTTTTTGATGTCAGAAAACATGATTTTTCACCTCCAATGCTGTTTTTGTATTATACTGGAGGATATATATGGAATTATGTAGAAAAAGCTAGAATAGAGAAACTGAGGATAGTGATGCTTTAACAAGAGGATGAAGTTCCTCTGGCAATGACCTCAGTTGGTTGCTGTAGTTCACTGCAAGTTGGTTGGATAATGATTGAGGAGTCTAAATGGGCCAGCTGATGGCACAGATTCTATTATTGGGACTAATAGAAGAGGCTGGAAAGTGCTAATTGGTTTTTAACTTGTCAAGTGGATGAGACAAAATTTTAGATTATAGTGATAGTTATTTGAAGAAAAATGAAGTTTGAAGTGTTGGATTTGACTGATTTACGATGGCTTGTCTTAATATAACCAAGTAAATAGGACTTGTTCATGAGGTTAATTTTCTTATTTGGTGAATCTAGAAAAAGAAAATTTGATTGGTCAAGTTAGTCAAACTAGCCAAGTTTCTGATTCCAGTTAGTGTTCTTTTCTTTATTTTGGAACTTCTAGATACGGTTGTTAAAGAATTGAATGCTTGCATCCTAGAGCTATATCTGCTAGCTTGCTTAGCTGTATACTTCTATCACATTAGAAAGCTTGTCTTTTCTCAGTTTATTTTACAATAGATTAGTTGTGTTTCCTTTTTTTGAATTGGAAGAATTTTCTCAAGACCTTTTTTGCTTCATACCATCCCCTCACTCTCATATTAAGCCGGCAAAATTATTTTGCTCATCAAATTACTATGGATCTATTGTGTCCATGTTTCTTTTATATTATCTTTATCTTCTGATATCCTTTGGTTGGTAAGTAATTGGTTTGTCATACAAATTATACGTCTAGAGAATGGATGCTTAAGTGGGCCATTTTAGGCAAGACGAGGATGCACAAATGAAGCATATGCGGTAGGAGACCGTTACTGTATATAAAGATCCTTTAGGGACCCTAGGTGGCATGCTATGTCCACTTAAGCATCATCCAGCGGTATTGGTTAAACCATCTGCCCATTACTACAAAATGTAAGATTACTTATGAGAAGGATGTCTTGTAGCTAAGAAGAGACTTGGTCTTTTTGATTTGTGTTCATTCTTCCAACCCAGGAACTAGCAAACAATTTAAAAATGCATGCTATATAGAACACAATATCAAAGATGGACTTCCACATTCTTCAAACCATTGTATTTAACTTGGTAACAAAGCCAGCTTTTAAGCAGTTGTTTCATTGCTCTAAGGATAAAAATTACTTACTGCTATCAGCTTTAACTTATTATACTTTTTATACCCACTAAGAACAAGTTCCAGGACATTGATTTAGCGCTTTCTCATATACACCCCCTCCTAGACATTGATTAAGCTTGAATTGATTATTCTCTCATAAAAACGATACAATTAAGAGAACACTTATGGCTTATGATCTCATCTGATTCTCGTGTTCTATTTAATTCTTATCTTTTGGACCGAGAATATTCATGAGAGTAAATAATGATAAAGTCCATGGGGATGAAGCAAGCTCATTATGACTGAGGAGGAAGTTTGAGTAAACTGAGTTCTCTCTATTTTTCATCTTCTATCAACTTTTTGTTTGTTTGTTTCTGTGTCTTTTTTATGTATGTTATTGCTTGGGCCTTCTGCAAAACAATAAGGCATGGAGTGTGTTTAGGAGTGAATTATGACCTGCGTACAAGGTAAGACGAGGAGTGCGTTTGGGAATTGGGCTAATGAGAATGTAGACAAGATAATCATTGTGGAGATTGGAGCGGCTGAAGTAAAAAGGAATAAGGCGTCAACTTTTTTTTCCGGAGTTCTTTTTCTTTATTCATGTCTCTCTTTTTGAATCCATATCCAAAGCAAGATGACTAAGAGGCTTGAGATTAACAAAGTTACTCAAATATAGATAAGAGTATAGGGGAGCGACAAATTTATAAAAGGTAGGATACTGCGACTAAGATTAGTATTTTTTTTCCATTCACATGTCATGAGAATAAAATTCTTATAACATTTGTATGCTTTTTTTATTATGTGTATTATAAAATCAGAAAACTGCTCAATTTTGAACTTGATACCAAAAGGCCTTTAAAATCATAGTATATTGATCATGATATCGGCTGAAACATTTCTGACTCTTGTGCGATGAGATTCAAGAGTGGATGTGAAGTGTAGGGTATACGTTCTAGAAGTATATGACGAGTGTTTTGAATTAAAATGTATATTATATAAACTGAGCAATAAATGTATGGATAAGTTCAAGCAGTGTCCAAGTGGTGTCGGTATCCGGGATGAGTATGATACATGTTGGTCACGGGTACGATATGTGTTGGTCACGTGTACATCTTTACAATAGAAGTAGCCATGCAACACAGGGGATTAATGAGGATGAAGACAGCATTAGAATATAGGAAATAAGTAAAAGGAGAATGTTATGATTTAGGAAGAGAGATGGAGATTTTATGGTGGTATTTGGTAAATTGGACATTCACAAAAGTTGAGAGCTACTAGAAAGACTAGCCGTCATATTGTTGACAATATGTACAGTTCATCAGGATATTTGTTGGGGTGGGGATTGGGGTGAGGGTTTTATTGTATCATTCACTTGTTGGAAAGATGATGAAATATGTGCTTCTGTGAGTCAGTGTTGTCGAGAGAGAAATGAATGTCAAAGCAGTATTGGCTAATGCAACATGAAATTGAGCCAAAGTGCACATTCTTGTAAAATCAGTATCCATATATCTACTCCTCTATACAAATGGGAGAACCCAAGATTCACTGTTCATGCTACAGTAAACACTACAATAATATTATCACTGTAGCAAGCGTGAAACTGGGCATTGCGGTTTTTTGAAAAAATACTGTAGCACACGGAGATACTGTATCAGAGCGTGGGGTACTGCAGTAATTCAAAAAATCATAAAAACTGTAGCAGTTAAACCCCCTGGATTACTGTAGCAAAAAGTATGTCGTGAAAGCAGGGTGTTCACACTAGTAATTCTAATTCCAGAACTAATAGTGAAGATTTTTCTTTTTGACCCTGTGTAGCTCTTCTAAACAAACAATTTGCAAAAGCATAGGAGTTTTATGTTATTACCCATAGGAATTAATGAGTTTCCTTTTACAAGGCGGAGATTGTACAGACTCTTATCCTGCAATGACATCAACATTATGGAGTCTTATAAAATGCTAATGAAATTATGTAAAGATTTTACTGAAAGCTTATGCTTATGTCTTGTGAGAAAAAAATGATACTAGATAGGAGAACCAAGATTTCAGATTTATTAACATATAGTGAACAACCATTGTTGTCTCCTTCCGATAAATGTGGATAGAATTGAAGTCTTATAACACATTCAAATAGACTCAGGCAAAATTAGTATAATAGATGATACTCTCCTCTCATTATCAACTATCAAGACCTAGTATCAGTATATTGTTCACCTAAATCGGCAATATCGGTGTTTCTAGCCCATTCACTCAATGGAAATGGGCACATTACATTTGTGGTTATGATGTTCCATGTTTTTCCAAGGTTCAAGATAACTGAAAGTTTTTCAAGTTTTATAGCAGATTGAACTTAAGCATCATGGTCTTTTGAGCCCTTAGTCGTTATGTGCTTACAAAGAATTTTTCTCATTGCTACATACCTTTCAGTACATCGAAGTTATAAAATGGTGATGGATAATATGGCGCATCAACCTATCATTTTTGCATGATCAGCATCCATTTTCCCCACCCCTCTCTGCCCTCCACCATCCCAACCACACTGTGGGGATACAAATACCTAGCAGACATGAATATCATCAGTACACGTTTTCATACTGCGTTGACTCAATTAATCTGATTCCCAGGTTTTGCCTGATACCTTCAGTGGCTGTTTTAGCTAAATCTTGAACCATACCTTCTGTATCCAACTAGAAGATATCCTATCCTCCTACAATTAAGAGCAATTCAATTACGTTGCCCAAAAGGGATCTTTTTCAACCCGAAGAGGATGGGGGAACGGTATTATCGCGGTAAAGTACTAGTATTCCTTCTTCAGCGATAACTGGATTTTATCTCATTTTGACGCACTCTACTTGGTGCATATTGTAATTTTAATGAATTTCTGTTAGATATCCAGGGTGATGGGTTTTGTTTGCTTCTTCATATCAGTCAGTTTGTCTATAAAATATGTTTTTAGTAGATGAGTTAAAGCCCAGTTATGCAGTAACTTTTTTTGTACATTCATATTTGAATTATTTGCAATCTATCATCCATTTTAGTCATTTAACTAAAGCAACAACATATTCTCTTGTTTGATACCCCGCTTCCCTGTTTCACAAATTGTACCCTTCACACTTTGCCCATCTGGCGTACACAGAGAATTCTACGTCTTTGACACTTTTGTCATTACGTTGTAAAGTAGGGAAGCACTAGATGCTACGACTCATTCATTGTTGATGACTGTATATATTATGTTTAAATGCTTTTGATCTGTACTTGGTATACAAGAGATCTTTTAGTCTTTTTAGGTTATATGAATAGGGTATGAATTATGTCTTCTTATTATATATTTAATGATCTTGACTTTTACTGATAGCAGACAGACAGTGAAGCCAAGCGCATCAGGGGAATGAAACCTAGAGATGAAAATGGTGAATCAAAAACTGAGGCAGAGGCAAGTTCTGGATTATGTAACAAGAATACTGACCAAAATACCCAGCCATCAGAAGCACCTAAGCAAGATTACATCCATGTCAGAGCAAGAAGGGGTCAAGCAACTGACAGTCATAGCCTCGCTGAGAGAGTAAGCATTGTCACTTTCCCCTGCTATTCCTCTTCCCCTTTATGGAAATTATGTACGATGGTTAGGTATAACAATATAGATACATTGGATATATTTAATTTTTAGCATATTGATCATGGAATCATAGTGTAGATAGTAATGTCATGAAAAATCACTGAATTTTACTCTCTTTATGACCAATTCATTCATGAACAGGCTAGGAGAGAAAAGATAAGTGAGCGGATGAAGATTCTTCAAGACCTGGTTCCTGGATGCAACAAGGTGCACCGTTAAGTTTGCTCATGTTTAACATTCTTCAAGCAAATGTTTACTGCAAACAAAATGCATGAAGTATTTTTCTAGTTGTTATTTAGATCTTGCTGAAGAATGTCACTGACACGATTATTTCCACAATAAGCAGGTTATTGGAAAAGCATCAGTTCTTGATGAGATTATCAATTACATCCAAGCGCTGCAGCGTCAAGTTGAGGTGTTGATCTTTGTGACTGTCGATATATTTTTGACCTTTGTTTTTTATTTTCAGTTCCTGAACCATGGTTTCTGTTGAATTATGCAGTTTCTCTCAATGAAGCTTGAAGCTGTCAATTCCCGGATGAATTCTGGAATTGAAGGCTTTCCGTCCAAAGATGTAAGTATAAGGGCTTGGACACGTAGACAATCATTTTGTAATTTATAAACATCCAAAACAGCTTAAAATGCACCTCTGGTACTCTTGAACCTTGCTTCTTTCAAACTATTATGGAACATCCAAAATAGTTTCATTTCCTATTCCAATTTTTCTTATCTTTTATGCCTATTGAACCTTGCTTCTTTCAAACTATTATGGAATACACTTGAATTTCTTTCTGGAGGCAATGGATGAACTCTGCATGCTTAATCTATCATTTTCTTATTCCACCTTTGCAATGAGTTTATCATGGAAGTATGAAAGCACTCTCTTTAGCTTAGATATTGCTGAGATTTGGACCGCTGCTAGCTGTTTTCCAGGGTTGCTGATCTGGCTCATAAGGGCCAATTACACAGTTGAACAATTTGTTCTATAATCCTGCTCTGCGAGTGCCCAAATATGCAAGTATAATTAGAATCATGATATATGTTCGTGTCTAATATGGACACAATGTTCGTGACATATTATTTCTCCTGCAATTTTCCTTCCTTTTCAGTTTGGAACACAGGCATATGAGACTCCTAGCCTGGCATTCAGCTCGCAGGCCCCAAGGGAATACGGCCAAGGATCAGCAACAGAATGGCTACACATGCAAGTTGGCGGTGCTTTTGAGAGAGTCACATAAATGTGATGAAAAACCAATCATCCCTTCCTCATTCAGTAATAAGGAGCGTGTACCAGGCTGAATCTACTCCACGGTTGTAGGTTATTTTTCTTCATGTCACCTCCCAGAGTCTGAAGAAGTATGTTTTGAATGGGATACTATCTCCATCTTGGAGCTGTTCTGTCTATATAATCATGCATATATATACTTATACATTGAAAAATTTGGGCAGTTTCCTTATTCTAGCATTATTGGAGATCAATGTACTCTCTTCAAGTCTTCCTTTGGTATTTCTTGTGGTTAAAGGACATGAAAGACTGAAAACTGTATTAATGTAGTATTGTTGAAGTGAACTCAGAAATTAATTAATGTTTGCTTCAGAGTTAATGTTCTCTGTTAATTGTGGTTTATGACGCTTGCAGATGCTTTCATGCTTACTGTCCTTTTAATAATTTCACATATCTTTTAATTAGTTTATTCTTGTAGTCTCTTCAAATATTAATTTATGCCATTACATATCAGACTGAAAATCTGATACGTAATGGCCTGAAAATATCTTAAATAACATGCTAGATTAGATGATACTCATTTGGACATACTTTTCCTTTCTATATTTTGGACTCTAAACAAATAACAAACTACGACATCACACACAATCGACAACCGCTACTACTACGCTACATTGACACCACACTACACTACAGACACATACCGCTGCTACTGGCACAATCTGCTTGCTTTCGGATGCTCTCTTCGCTCTCATTGTTCACTCCCTCTTCATTCTCTTCACTCTCACGTTTCTTCATCCTCATCAGTCCAGATCTCCTCTTTGCTAATTTCCTCCATCCTGCTCTTGACGAGCCGAAGAACATCGATGAACCTCTGCAGACAAGCCTCAACATCCACATCGCCGGACTTCAGCATAAGGTTCTCCGCCACATCTGCAGGCGTGATGAAAACCTCTCCGATCAGTTCCTCAATCCTCTCGAACAAAGCATGAGATTCAACACGCAGATAATTCTTGGCGAGAACCTTAAACCCTTCAAAGCTACAATAAGCCAGTTCAATGTGCATGTCCATCCTCCCCCTTCTGATCAGCGCCGGATCCAATTTCTCGATATGATTTGTCGTGAACACGATGATCCTCTCACCTCCACAGGAGGACCAAAGCCCATCAATGAAATTCAGCAGCCCAGACAGCGTTACCTTGCTTCGTCTCTTTTCCATTCAAGGGCGTAACAGTCTCTTCATCATTGCATCTCTTAGCGGTCTGTTTACCTGCAAGATTGAGTGAGCAATCGATATCCTCGATCACGATGATGGACTTACTTGCAGTATCGAACACTAGCCTCCTCACCTCTGAATTATCCTTCACTGCAGTCAGTTCAAGATCATACACACCGTAGTCCAAGAAATTGGCCATTGTGATTGTGGGGGCCACACAACGGGAGCAAAGAGCCAACACCCATGTGAAAGCACGTGAATGAGTTTTCTCGCACTGGTTCAGCGGGTAAAGAGGCCCACCCGATTCAACAATGTATATATAGCTTTGCTAGTTTTTTTCTTTGTTTCGTGTGCAAGAGCAGAGGGCTGGGTGATTCTTTGGGCTGCGTGCAAGGGTTTGTGGTGTGCGGCTGTAGAAAGAAAAAAAGCTTTTGTTTTGCTGTTTTGAGAGAGATATCTGTTTGAGGGATTTGAGAGATTGTTTGAGGGTTTAGGTTGTGAGATTGTAAACTCTAGTTGTATTCTCTCACTCTATTAGTAGATCTCCCCCCTCCTTGCCCCGTGGACGTAGGCAATTTGTCGAACCACGTAAAATTTATGCTCTTGTCGTGATTTGTAATAGCTTGTAGGTTCCCTCGACAAGTCAGTCCTAAAACTGATGAGAGAAAGAGCTGATATCTCACTTTGTTGAGTTATTTTGCTTCCGGTTCTTGTTTTTTTTGTGAAAAAGGATTTCCGTTGTGATCTAATCTCTTGTTGTGCACCTTACGCACCAGAGGTGCTGCCGAAATTTCCGCTGCGCACAACAAGTAGTATCAGAGCTTCGGGTTGGACTTGGGAGCTTGTTCGAAGGATTCGCTGTTGGATTCTTATTTGAAGAGTTAGATCGACAACATGGGAGAATCAAGCACATCAGGTTCGTCTCTTACGAAGACGATACATAGTTTGAATCAAGCACATCAGGTTCGTCTCTTACGAAGACGATACATAGTTTGAGCATCAATAACATGAAGATTGATATTCCGAAGTTCGACGACAAGATCAATTTCGGTTTGTGGAGGTGCCAGGTGATGGATGCGTTGGACGCTCAAAACTTGGAGGAAACTATTGAGTTGCAAGAGAAACCTGCTGATATGGAAGAAAATGTTTGGAAGAAGATGAATAGTAGGGCGTGTGGAGTTATTCGGTCATGCTTGATGCCGAATCTTATTTATGATGTGATGAACGAGACGTCGGCGAAGAAGATGTGGGAAACACTCAATGAAAAATATCTTACTAAGAACATTGAGAATCGGCTTTACTTGAAGAAGAGGTTTTACCAGTTCAAGATGAAAAAGAGAGTTTCTATTAGGGAGCATGTTAACAACTTCACAAAGCTACTTTCAGACATGGTCAATATGGATATCATGGTTGAGGATGAAGACAACGTGATGTTACTTTTGTGTTCGTTGCCCGAGGATGATTATGATACTTTTGTTCTAACTATGATTAATAAAAGAACTACTGTTAGTTACAAAGAGGTGACATCAACGTTAGTGAATTATAAGTTGAGAAAGAGAGTGTTGATGAGTCATCCGAGAAGGCATCGGGAGATGCATTAGTAGTTCAAGACCGTGGTTCAAACCGAAGCAGGAGGTCGCAGTCTAGAGGGGCACATCGTGGAATTCATAGGAATCAGCGTGCTTTTTATAAAGAGGATGAACATTGGAAAGCTGAATGCCCAAAGTTAGATCGAGCCGAGAAGAATAAGGGGAAAACTGTACAAGCTTCAGAGGAGAATGTTGTCAAGACTAGTAATAACAATTCAGATTCGGATTTTTTAGGCTATTCGTTATCCACGCTACCATCAGTTTGTGATGCCGACTCTACGGAGTGGATATTGGATTCGGGTGCTTCTTACCACGTTTGTCTTAGGAGGGATTGGTTCTCCAGCTTTCAAAAGTTGGAAAGAGAGGATGTTGTGCTCATGTATAATGGACATGCATGCTCTATTGGTGGTATTGGTACCGTTCGGATTAAGATGAGTGACGGGGTGATTCGGGAGTTGGATGAAGTGAGGTTCGTTCCACAATTGAAGATGAACATCATTTCACTTGGAGCTTTGGAGGCAGCAGGTTATAAGATGACCTTGGTGGATGCACATTTGAAGGTCATATTGGGGTCCATGATTGTGATGAAGGGCGTCATAAGGAGTAATTTATATTATTTGTTTGGAACCACGGTAATTGATAGGGAGCTGGCGACTTCATCAGATTCGGCTAGATTGTGGCATTGTTTGATGCTGAGTTATTTGATTGGTAATGCCGTGCATAGGTTGTTAATGAGTGCTTTGACCTGCAGTTTGAAGTCCTGTGAACCCATTGGTATGAGCAAGAAGACCGGGGTGGAGTTTGACACTTCTATCCATCATTTGAGGGGTTTTCTAAGGGGTGTTTATTCAGACATTTGGGGGCCTTCTAAGGGATCATTATTGGGAGGTAATAGGTATGTGGTTTCTGTAGTTAGGGATTGTTCTAGGCATTGGTGGGTTGCAACCAAGTCCCGTTGGTGTGGAGTCCTAGAAACCTGCAATAGATGTAGGAAGTGTGTTGGCAAAAATGTAACCCGACGTTCTGTTTATGGTAGGGGTTCTTTCTTGCGTTTGTGCCAAGCTTAAGGCAATTGGAGGTACTTCATTGGTGTGGAAACTTTGAGGCGACGTGATGAGATGGCAGGTTTGAGGAGCTGTTCCTTTCTGGAGGAGGATAGGCGTTTGATGTCAAGCATTGGCAATGATGTGCGGGCTACGACATGTTTGGGCCATCTTATGCATAGGTTGCCGACTGCTGCATGTAGAGATATGAGATCTGGTGGAGCTGCTTTAGATTTTGGGTTGCGTCGGATGTTTGGCTACCCAGCACTTGGTCACATCGTGGATATGAGATTTGATCTGATAGCATATTTAGGAGTTAGAGGCGTGTTTGATTATCAGGTATTGGCTTCTGACTTTGTTCTAAGCAGATATGTCACGTTTGACTCTCGACAGATGGAAAATGGTGATCAGATCATTAGAAAATCACAGCGGGTGGAGAGTGATGCTACTCCACGTTGGGTGGAGATTACTCCACATACTCCAGATCATACTGCATCGTTTAGAATTTCAGCTGATGTGACACAGATCGGAAATCATGTTGTTTTGGATGCAGATGATAGGTTGATAGATTCAAGTGCAGCTGATAGATAGAGTCTGGATATGGCCATTAGTTCATCTCAAGTAGAGATGTTTGGATTGTTTCAGTTTGGGGCCATTGGAGGTGCTATCAGCCGTAGACTTGATCGTGATATTGGAGAAGAGTTGCGAACTCTTCTAGTGGATTGAGGCCTTTGGAGACCATTTGGGTGAACTACGTGAGGCTTGATTCCTTTGGCAAGAGGATAAGTAGGCAGTCTTTATGATGCAGCCGGGTTGGATTAGTTGATTTTGATGGGGGTGAGATTATTTGGACTCTCGTTCGGGTTCCCGACGTGTTGTGGATTGAGTCTGTTGTCGTGAATTGTTTTACGACGTACTGGACACAACAAGTGGGGCATTTGGATGTTTTGGTGTCGACTCAGTTTTGAGACAACTTCGCCGAGGTGGAGAATTATGATTGTGAGGGCCACACAGCGGGAGCAAAGAGCCAACACCCACGTGAAAACGCGTGAATGAGTTTTCTCGCACTGGTTCAGCGGGTAAAGAGGCCCACCTGATTCAACAATGTATATATAGCTTTGCTAGGTTTTTTCTTTGTTTCGTGTGCAAGAGCAGGGGCAGAAACGCAGTCGGCAAAAAGTGCGTGCAAGGGGTTTTTGCGGCTACGGAGAAAAAGCAAGGCAAAGGGCTGGGTGATTCTTTGGGCTGCGTGCAAGGGTTTGTGGTGTGCGACTGCAGAAAGAAAAAGAGTTTTTGTTTTGCTGTTTTGAGAGAGATATTTGTGTGAGGGATTTGAGAGATTGTTTGAGGGTTTAGGTTGTGAGATTGTAAATCCTAGTTATATTCTCTCCCTCTATTAGTAGATCTCCCCCTTGTCCCGTGGACGTAGGCAATTTGTCGAACCACGTAAAATTTGTGTTCTTGTCGTGATTTGTAATAGCTTGTAGGTTCCCTCGACAAGTCAGTCCTAGAACTGATGAGAGGAAGAGCTGATATCTCACTTTGTTGAGTTATTTTGTTTTCGGTTCTTGTTTCCTTTATGAAACATAATTTCCATTGTGATCTAATCTCTTGTTATGCACCTTGCACACCGGAGGTGTTGCCGAAATTTCCGCTGCGCACAACAGCCATCGCATGGCGGCCCATAAAGAAGATACCCTCTCTTCCACGCTCTACCAATCTTCCCATAATACTCCTTCCTCTCCTTAAACGCCGCAAGATCGTCCATCACCTCCTTCTTCTTATCCTGATCCACCGCCAGAGTACCAAACGTCGCAGGGTGATCAAACACCACGCTGCTCCAAAGCCTGGCATGACGCTCAGAATCCACGTTGTTAGTGTACAGCCTCTTCCTTCTTCCCTTTGCTTTGATAGCCTTTCCTTCGTCTACCACATGAGGCAAGTAGACCTCGGTCACTAGTTTCCGGTGGCGGGCGTGGCAGCTTAACCTGTACCAGCGCTTCTCGTTGCGATGGGTACCAAGAAAAGGAAATCTGTTGGTTTTCGCCATCTTGCCACCAAATCTTGATGCCATTATAAGACGTAGACGACTTCTTCATGAGCGCCAATTGTTAAGGACAGCTTCTGGCTCGGCTTGGTGATCTCTGCATTAAGGTTCTTGGCTTGGTGGGAGGAGTTGGAGGTGAGGTAGGCTTCGACAGCGGTGAACGCCTCTTTGCGGCGAGAGAACTCGCCAGTGAATTCGGGGACGGTGACGTGAATGTAAGGGTTGAAGAAGGCGGTGAGCTTGGAGGCGTGGCGGACGAGGGAGGATTTGAGGGTGGACGGGATGAACTTGTCGATGATGGCCCAGAAGAACATTAGGCTGGCGATGGTTGAGCCGGCGCTGGCCCAGGATTGATCTCTCATCATGTAATTCATGATCTTTGCTTTTCTTGCGTTCTTGATTAATTTGAGTTGAGGTTAAGTGAAGAGATTGGTGTGAGTTATATCTTGGAGGAGGAACGAGGGTCATAAGAAGTTGGTGAGTGTAGTTTGGGGAAGCGGCCAAGGGAATTGGTGCAGTTGTTAGAACAAGTGTACAGAGAGGAGGAGGAGGAGGGCATGGTGTTTGAATGTGAGTTATTGTTAGAAGAGGGAAGAAAGAGACAATGAGCGTGTTGGGGTTTTTTGTCATGATTAGCTAAAAGCATTGGCTTCAGTCTTGAGAATAGGTTTTGAGCCAGATGTGTTTAAAAATAAATCACGTAAAACTTGGATTTATAAACAAACGGTTTTTCTATAGAGTGTCCATGGGCACTCTATAAGAGAGGAGAGAGATAGAGAGAAATGAATCACTCTATAAGAGAGGAGAGAGATAGAGAGAAATGAATGAAGATGGGCCCCCTAATTTGCATTGGGATCCCCTCCTCATTCATTTCTCTCTATCTCTTTCCTCTCTTATAGAGTGCCAATGCAAATTAGGGGGCACCCTTTTCATTTATTTCTCTCTATCTCTCTCCTCTCTTATAGAGTGCTCATGGGCATTTTATAGAAAAACCGATAAACAAAAACCATTTTTATGTCCAGACTATAGGTTGTAAAACTTGGATTTGTAAACAAAAACCATATTTATGTCCAGACTCCAGACTATAGTCTTGGGTTTATTAGTAAACAAAACAAGAGATTCATTTATTGCCATCTTAATATAAATGAGTAAACGGGCGATGGGAACGGATGGTTATAATTAGTATTGAGAAGAGTATAAGATGGTCCCAGTTCATACACAAAATAGTACCGTAGAAATATATAAATAAAAGGCATGTAGCCAGCCTCAAATTGCAATTTCTTTCACATTATAATATTAGAATCACATATTAATTCAAAATTTTTCCAAAGTACTTGTTAATAAATTTGAATCTTGAACAAATAGTTGGTTAATTTGTACTATTATGTATTCACAGTAGTATACTCTCAAAGAAAATTGTTGGCAGTTAGTGATATGGGAGAAAACACATGTTCAAACACTGCTTTGAACATAATTTACTGAAATTAGATAAGAGTGGTTACTTCGAAACTTTTAGAGATAGATGTCAGTGAACTTTATGCATTTCATCAAGATCTGTTTTTTAAAAAAAAATTAATGGTCGTTCCTATATGATACAGCTCGCATCTGCATCTAGAAACTTAATCTGAGAACAATCATGAACAAGGGATAGAACAACTACAACTAGTCATACTTTATAAGAACTTTGGACCATCACCAACAAGATGCCTAGAATTTATTGAGATGGATAAGTGACAACTAATATCCAAGGAATAAATGCGCCTATAAGAAGCGTGTGTATCGATAGAAAGTTGAAGTATCTTTAATTGGGATAAATTGAGAGAAACTAATCCAAATAAAAAGACTAATAACTTCCCCTAAAGACCTACAGTATTGAAGCCACGGTCAAAATGCAAAGAATCCTTGACCAGTCAGTAACCCGCTTTGATTTCTTCTATTAAACGCGGTTTGTTTTGACGTGCTATTTGGTTCGCTATTTAACCTGTGGAAAACTTTTACATCCCCTCCACTTCATTTTTTTCGGGGTCACGTTGGTTGTTTGAACTTTTTCCATTGATTTCCCACCATTTTTTGTGTGCGAGCCAAACCAAAACAATCTATTTCTTGGAAAAGTTTAGAAAACTCAAAACTTTAGTTTTTTTTCATGGAATTGCATTTTAGTATATATAGGAAACCAACCAAACAGCCACTGAAAGAACAAACAACGACACAAACTATTTACTCATTAAAAATAATAATAAATAACACAGTTAGACGTAAGCTTTCAACAGAAGAACTAACTAATTATATTAAGGGCCATTTTGAATTTGACATGTTCCAGTTTACATTATATCTGAGCTTGATGACCTAGTCCTCAGAAGACAGGTATTTTACAGGTAAATAACTTTCCAAAGGAGAAAATTATTACCTTTCAAAGAAGCAACCTCAATTTGAATACTTTTAAGCTAAGCATATATATGACCATTCTCCTCTCCGACTTTTCATTTTAACTTAACAGGCAAAAACCAATTCATATTTCTCTAATATCTTCAAGCCCCAGACATTGAAATTATCAGAGAGTCAGATTCAGGTTTGTATGTACACGAGATGATGAAGAAAACACTAATCTATAGCTTTGTGGCTCGAGGAATGGTAATCCTTGCAGACTACACAGAATTCACTGGGAATTTCATTAGCATCGCGTCTCAATGCCTTCATAAGCTTCCTTCCAAAGACAACAAGTTCACCTATAACTGCGATGGCCACACCTTCAATTACCTTGTTGAAGATGGATATGGTAAGGTTTATTGCATATATTTTTTGGGCAGTTTACAGAAAAGTAACTTAAAGTTTGACCCCTATTAATCAAGTACTCGTGTACTCGCAAATTAATCCTTGTCGGGTTTCTGGCAGCATATTGCATTGTTGCAGTTGAGTCAGTTGGCACACAACTCCCTGTTGCTTTTCTAGAGAGAGTTAGGGATGATTTTAACAGAAGATACAGTGAAGGAAAAGCCACTAATGCTGCAGCCAACAGTCTTGACAGGGAGTTTGGGTAAACGTTCACAGATAAATATGCTTATGTTGCTCTTTTCTTTTCATTTTGATAAAGTGATTTTGCTTTGAATATGTACTGATTTCAGACCCAGATTGAAAGAGCACATGCAGTACTGCATGGACCACTGTGAAGAGATCAGCAAGCTTGAAAAAGTGAAGGCACAGGTCTCACAAGTTCAGGGAGTCATGAGGGAAAATATCGAGAAGGTGATACTCCTAAACTTTCAACTGAGGCTACTCTTCAGTACGTGATTTAAATTTTGCTAAATATTGTGGAACAACTCTCTTTCCTTTCGTAGGTTCTTGATCGTAAGGATAAAATCGATCCCCTTGTCGACAAAACAGACAAGCTTCGGTCGCAGGTAACTTGCTAGCTGCACAATTGGTGCTGGTTCTGAGTTAAAATTGTTAAGGCACAAGTAAAAAATAAGGTATCCCAGACGGAAAATTCCATCTAGAATACTCAGAATTCCGTCTAGGATGGGTATTCTAGACGGAATTCCGTCTAGAATACGCGTCTAGAAAGTTTCCGTCTGGGATGTAGTATTCTAGAATACTCAGAATTCCGTCTAGGATGGGTATTCTAGACGGAATTCCGTCTAGAATACGTCGTCTCTTCCTACTTTTAGTGCATGTACACAACATTGAACAACACCAAATTATATTCATATCCAATACAATTTAATTATATTCCAATATCAAATCCAATTATATTCCAATAACACATTCACCAAAATACTAGAGCAATACATAAATTATTTACAATAGCTATTCTAGACGGAATTTGAGCATCCTAGACGGAATTTCCGTCTAGGATGCTATGCTACAGTTTTTTTTTTTTTTTAGAATCTACTTTTAGTGCATGTACACAACATTGAACAACACCAAATTATATTCATATCCAATACAATTTAATTATATTCCAACATCAAATCCAATTATATTCCAATAACACATTCACCAAAATACTAGAGCAATACATAAATTATTTACAATTGTTTACATCTTTGCAGAGACATAAATTACAAGAGACCATACGTAGATAGCTTTTTCCAATAGTCAGTGTAAGCCATCGGGACATATGCCTCATAGTTTTTTGGATGGGATTTAAGCTGAGAGAACGCAAAAGAAAGTTAGCCTCAAAAGAATTATGAACATCAAACCTAATCGAAATGAAACAAGTTAATATAGTTGTTGGCAATGATAATGTGTTCATACATGCCTCAGACATTATGATACATTGATATTCACACTAAGAAACAAACTGTAAATGCACCATTTAAGTCTAGATTCAAAGTTTTACCTCTTGATTTGAGTCCAATTCATACCCATTTTATGCGGCCAAAGCTTTGGCAATCCCCACATATTCCTAAAATAAAATGTATGGAAAATTACTTATACATAACAAGCAAAAAAGAAAAGGGAAGGGAACACAATCATTAGAAAGTTCAATTATACCAAAATATTTTCACCCACCTAATCACAGAAATCCAAATATTTCCAAAATATCAAAATATTATTGTCTGAACACATTGAAAACTCACCTGGATAAATATGTGCTGTCTTGTCCATCTAGTGTATTCACCTTGAATAGTTTAATGTGTCATCAGTGAGCAATTAAGCAATGTATCTAGAAGTAAAAATTGCTATATGGAAAGAAACCTGAAAAAATAACTGTGCAAAGAAAACTAGAATAAGAGTTTCATCTTTTCATTCTCATTTGTGTTTCTTCAATATTCCTGATTCATCACAACCTCAACTAAAACTCACAGATAGTCGGCTTCTTGGAAGAGAACATGATTCATGCGACACAACATACATTGCAAAGCCGAAGAATTGTTGCAGGACAAGAGAGGATGGTTGGATTGCTCTCTAAAAGACTCACATTTTCCTTCGTAATCCCTTGTCCTGAAAGGAAAAATGCATGCATCAAGACTGTATGTAGTCCTGAACGCACAATGGCATTTTTGAGGTACTCATCAGATTTTGGAAGTTGCTTTGATCGTAGCCACCTTGCTTCCAAAAGAAATGCATTGCATAACCTTGTCTTCAATCCAAAACTTAGAATAATCTCATACCCCAACTGAAAATTCTCGACTCTCTTCAATCCAAAACTTAGAATAAAACACAAGTAACATTTCATTCATATTTCTAATAAATACAAGAAAATATATACAGAATCAATATCCAAACTAATCCAACAGATAATCAAAACTGCAAACTTGCATTCTTAACTGTGATTCAAAAGCTAAATTCTTTCTGTTAAGAACTCACTCCACCTAACCCTACCCCAAGATCATCAAATCCCTAATTCGCACACTAACCAGTACTCCATCAGCTTAAACCCTAATTTCATATCAAAATTCACGAAAAAGAAAACGAGATCTTGAGAGATCGAATCGGTTACCAACTGATCGATTGCTTTTGGGAAGAGATGATGATGTCGGCCATTGGAGATAGAGGGCGGAGCTCTGCTCTCGAAGTGGAAATGAGCGAGCAGCTTTTGATCAGGCAGCGGCCTCAACATGAGCTCCTCGGTGAACTCCTCCGCTGTTGATCCATCTCCGCCGTCGGATCCGACGACGAAGAAGGGGATTGGACAGTGGAGATTGAAGACGAGGATGAGGAGGACGAGGAGTTAGAGAATTAGGGGCGAGGGCTTCTTATTTGGATTTTGGGCGAAAATTTTTGGGGGAGGGGGGAATTTCGATTTTTGCGGGAAAATTTGATATGTTTATTTTTTTAATATGGGCCAAAGTATTCTAGACGGAAATTTTCCGTCTAGAATACATTCTAGACGGAATTTTCCGTCTAGAATACCCAATTATTTTAAAAAAAAATTTTAAAAAATATAACCGTCTAGGATATTATCCTAGACGGAAATTTCCGTCTAGGATGTTTTATCCTAGACGGAATATTGTAGACGGAAATTTTCCGTCTAGTTTAATATTAAACTAGACGGAAAATTTTCCGTCTACAATATTCCGTCTAGAATACACTATTTTCCACTAGTGAGGGTTAATTGATTGCAGATACCATTATAGAAGAGAGTTTTACTACATTGTTGTTGAATTGGTTGTAGGCACAAGAATTCAAGGGACAAGGGGGACAGATTAGGAGGAAGATGTGGTGGCAAAATATGAAGATAAAAATGATTGTAATAGGCATTATCATTGCGCTGATCCTAATTATAGTATTATCGGTTTGTCATGGCTTCAAATGCTAGAATTTGATAACTGCAGATGTATCATACTACACATTGATGTATCATTATCATTTGTTATCAATATTATCTGTATTATTTTGTGCTTGATGAATGGTAAGAGAGAATCCATTACTTTCCAGTTTCATGAAAGACTACCAATTCCACTTTGCTCATCATAAACAAAGGAAAAAAGAAACTTTGGAAATTTGGAATTTCAAATGTTACCTAGATTACTAAAATACCTCCACATAGTCATCATCGATATGGCTAGAAGCAGAAACAATGCCTATTCTAACAAGGAAACTAACGCAACACGGAAGTTATAAACCTCGGAATCCATCAAGAGGCGTTCTTTGAATCCACAAAGAAAAATCTAGGAAGAGACGACGTCGAATCCACAAAATAATATAGATGTAAAGTCTTCTATCCTCGTCCGGCACTCTCATTTGGAACAGATCGCTTCATTTGTCGCTGAGAAGCGAAGGGGGAGAACGCGATAGCCAAATCAGGCCTCGAAACCATAGCCTTGTTTAGAGAGGGGGAGAGAGACCCCGGCCAACCGCAAGACAAGATAGTTATGTGGATGAAAATCTAAGGAGGCAATCTGACGAAGTCCCCTCGCTTATCAACAAGAGAAGAGTGTCTGTCCACAAGGGTCGTACCTAGTACTGTTTCGATGTGAGACTTAGTCTGGGCTTTGCGAGATCTTAATCGCGGTTCAAAATTTGATTATCTATATTTATCTCATTCAGATAAACTGCTTTGCTTCTCATTCTTGTGGTCTCGATCGATTGATCTATACATAACATCCATGGGGGCCTATCAAGACTACGAGGTGGAACTCCGAGAAAGGCAGTAGCGTCCTCAAGCTCGTCCCCTTGCTATTGGACCTGTGAGGGACTGTTTGTTGGATTACTGAAGTGGACTACTCAGTCCGCGACGAAAAGGCAATAAACGTCAACTGTGTCATTGTCATTGCTTTTGTATTATTTTTGAGAATTCAGAATCTTTTTCATTTTCATAAATCCTACTACACTAATTAACAGAGAGTGAAGTTTACGAACAAGCGAGTTGGAAACTACACGAGCCCAGGGAGTGTATTACATACACTGCATACTGGGGAGAGCCAAATGTTGGGGATTCGAAACAATCAATCGAACCCGTACCCTTCCGGATCTTGTGCTAAGAGTTTAACAAGTAGGAAAATCATCGCAAATAAAAAAAAAACTACAGGAAAGATAAACAAGAAGGAACACACCAGATTTAACAATGTTCGGCAACGTACCTACGTCCTTGGGAGCCACACCATACAATTCTTTTGATTAATTGAAGAAGATTACAATGCCCACAAAATAGGTTTTTATCTCTCTGAGATCTCTCTGAAAGAATCTTCTCAAAACCCTTTTTTTCTCGTGTTAACATAACCCTAAAAAACTATTAGGATATATATATAAATTCAACCCAAAACATAATCCCAAACGAATCAGGAAACCGAAAATCCCGACATCGGTCGACCGGACCAAGGGCTTCGGTCGACCGGACCAAGGGCTTCGGTCGACCGACCAAAGTGTCAATTTTACAGGGTCTGCTCGTGCACGTTTTCGGTCGATCGGAGTCCTCGTGTCGGTCGACCGGCCAGAGCTCGATTCTGGGCTTGGATTTCTACAGGTTTTCCGGTCGACCGGACCATCCTTGTCGGTCGATCGGCCAGAGCGAGCTTTTCACGCTCATTTCCTGCAGGCGTCACGGTCGATCGAAAGGTTTTTCCAGTTTTCTTCGTTGATTTGATTCCAGTTTTGGTCTACACTCTCGAGACTAACACCAAATGGCAGCCCGAATGAACTAGTCTATCGGTGGTGGTGCTTGTTCTGAATTCTCAGAGAGATCAGGCTCTTCGTTCTCCGATTTCTCTTTTCTCTCTTGGGGGAGGCTTAAGTCTACGCTACCTAGGTTGTTAGGAAGGAAGCTTTCTTGGCAAGACATGAAAAAGGGTCAATCCAAGAGGAGAGCCTCAGTCTAGTCGAGTGGTTTTCTCAGTAGCGTGCTCCTGCACTTCCTAGGGTCAAGCTCCATGTCTTCAAGTGAATATTTCAGGGGTGATCTCTTTTCATTGAAGTAAAGTTATATATTAATTCTAGGGTTACATGCTTCGTCTTAAATTAAAAAAATAAAATAGATTCTTAATAAAACTAGAATTATAAAGAAATAGGAAATATCAAATCGCGCACTAAAAATGACTTCTTATAATAGATGAAATAAACCATGAATCAAAATTGAATTTGTTTGCTAACCTAAATTAACTCCAACTTTATTACTAAAAATAATAAAAGCTGATTATTTTTAGATTTCTATAAAAAAAGCATATGATATTGATGTGATTTTAAAAATTTGTCAATCTAGGTGTCTTCTTCTGGTCGAGATAGACAACTTTTATATATAATATATTAGAATATATATTCCGGATTGGGAGATATGGTTGTTTCATTGCTAACGAGTCAATAATCCATCCATATCCACATTTGACTCATGAATGTCCCAACGTTCTATGAATTTGCTTGTTATACGTCTTATATCAGTCTTCTCTTGTTGAAAGAAGCTCAACTCCAAGCTTATATCTGTTTGAATAGTAGCTTCTTTGATAAACGTTTTTCTTCTTCTGCATCGAACAACATCCTCCTTGTACTTCATATTGATTTTCTCTATCTATTGTTTTATCTTATTGGCTAAGACTTTTTTGAATTAAACATTTGAATGAATCTTCCCCACACCATGTGTATGTGATTGGTAGTATATATAGGGATCTATAGTTAGCTTGAAAAACTCAGCCAAATAAGTTCGTGGTTGCTTCCTATATTCTAATGTCAGAAACATCATCTCAATATTGTTAGAATCATTAGTGATCATTTCTTTTAAATTTTTTTTCACATACTTCTTTTCCAATACTTTTATCTCTTTTACTTTAGACCTTCCACCAATCAAGTTACACATAACAACGATTGTCTCGCTCTCTACTCTACCTTCTCCTCAATTAGAACAATAATAGTATGTGTAATATCACTCACAATACTTTAGGAATTCCATGCATGATATTTATTATTATTGACGTACCCTATCAACATCAGGAATCTCAGTTATAATAGCAGTTTTTATTTTCTTTTCTAGATATGATCAAGGCATAGACCTCTTCAGATTACTTCAAGTCTTCTGCTAAAGCCTCATTGTCTATCACTAAAAAATTCTTCTCCTTAGCAGTCTCTATCTTATTTGGCTCCTTCCCTTATAAGAGGCATGAGTGAAACTCGATATCTATCATTCTTTAAGATATAAACATTGTCTCTTCTCCTGTGGGCAGTACCAACATTAAATTGTCATAATCTACCTAAAAAAATATGACAAGTATCCATCTCGATCACATCACACATCGCCTCATCAACATAGTTGTGGCCTTTGAAAAATGGCACCTGATACACCTTATTAATTTGCGCATCTTGCAAATCCAGTTGGTCTTGTAGGGAGTTGGGTGTTTCTTTGTCTTCAAACTTAACTTCTCCATCATACGTCAAGAGACAAAATTCTACCTACTGCTATTATCAATAATAATATCTTAAGTCTTTTGCATCGCGGTGTATCTCATGTGAAAGATATAATTGAAATTACCCTAGAGGGGGGTGAATAGGGTAATATGCTAATCTAATTCGATATTAATGCCAATTAAAAACTTATTAACTAATTATCCTAGCAAGAATGATATTCAAGAAGATTATATGCAAGGATATTTAACTAAGGGCGAAATAAACATGAATAATGGCGAAATAGAATGAAATAATTAACGAGCACAAATGTAACGCCAAGGCAAACCCAAACACACAATACGATCGTGGAGTTCTGTCCTTCCGACCTATGTTTCCGCTCCCCCACTCCCGGGGAGAATCCACTAACACAACAGGTTTTCAACGTTCACCCAAAACGTTTACACCTCACAATGGATCGGTTTTCTAGCTCACCAAAAACTTTCACAATCACACACACTAGCAATCACACTCTACACCCTCTAAGTGTTGGCCTAGCCCGTGTCGTCTTCCTCAAGTACTTGGATTTATAACCTCTCTCTATGCTTTATTACCGACGTCACTCCTCTTGGAATGACCCTGTCTCTTACCTCACACTCCTCTCAGTGTACAAATGTATTACAAAGTGTATCTCATAATGAAGCACAATAAAAAGATTTGTTTTCTACAATAGATGAAAACTCAATGCAAGCTCACTCAATCACACCCACAATCCAAATTACACAATGCGTGATAATAACTTAAGCTTAAGTGGTTATGTGTGAAAGATAACAAGTAATATAAACTCAATTGAAATCTAGCTTATAAAAATAATAAACAAAACTTATAAATAGCTAGAGATTGAGTTTAAGAAATCTTCTCTGAAAAAAAGAGAGGGAGATTAATGAAATTGAATCTCAAACAATGGAATTAATCTCCTCTTCTTCTTGTGAAACTTTCTTCACAAAACACTTGTGAAAACACACTTAAACAAACTTTAAATATCCTTTAAATTTGTTTAAAAACTTTCTTGGTGGTTAAAAATAGTTATGGAAAAGGGATATATATAGGGTAGAAGAAACCAGCCTAAGAAAACACTAAAAACCCATAAAAATAATAAAATAAATAAAATCTAGAAAATAGTCATTACTGTGCAAGTAGTTTGTAAGTCGACTTACGACATGGTATAAGTGGACTTATGTCTTATGAGTCGACTTATATGAGTTATAAGGCGACTTAGTAGACGAAAACAACAAACTGCATAACAGATTATAAGTCGACTTGTAAAATTTATAAGTCGACTTATCATATATAAGTCGACTGCTTAGAGTATAAGTCGACTCAGGAGATAAAAATTACATTTTTCAGAATAGTTCATAAGTCGACTTGCTACAGTACATAAGTCGACTTATAAACATGCACATGCACTATTCATGTTTGAAAACTGAGTTTTGAAGTACCTTTAAAAATAGC